CGGCCACTTTATTAGGTGCACCTGTTCAATTGCTTGATAACACAAATTGCTAATTAGCCAATCAAATGGCAGCACCTCAATGCATTTAGGCATCTAGAAGTGGTGAAGACAACTTGAAGAAGTTCAAACTGAGAATCAGAATGGAGAAGAAAGGGGATTTAAGTGACTTTGAATGTGGCATGGTTGTTGGTGCCAAAACTGCTGATCTACTGATCTACTGGGATTTTCACACACAACTATCTCTAGATTTTACAGAGAATGGACCGAAAAAGAAAAAAAAATCCAGTTGTGTGGATGAAAATACCTTGTTGATGTTGGAGGTCAGAGGAGAATGGACAGACTGGTTTGAGATGATAGAAAGGCAACAGTAATGCATGTCAATATGGATCAATCTCTCTTAGGAATGTTTCCAACACCTTGTTGAATTTATGCCGTGAAAAATGAGGCAGTTCTGAAGGCAAAAGTGGGGTCCAACCTAGTACTAGCAAGGTGTACCTAATAAAGTGGCCGGTGAGCGTAGATGATTAAGTCTAAAAGTAGCATAAATTTATAACTGGCCACATAAGCAATAACAGCTCCTTGATTTGGAACAGATTACTTAGTCCTTCGTGTACACGTTCTTTTGCATAACACTTTACAAGGTCAAGTAACATTTGACTTGAAAAGCAGAACAATGTGGTATAACGTTTCTACTACCTAGAACAAGGACAAAAGTAACTTTTGTAAAGGAGTCAGAAAAAGAAGCAACAAAAAGATCTACAACACGTGGCTTGTTGGTTGCAAAAATTGTTCAAGGCTGCCCTCTAATGGAAATATTTAGCATTACACATTCACAAAACAAAGCAACAGAATTCTAAGAACATACGTAGACATGAGCAACATGCAACAGTGCATTATATTAATTTCCTCCTCAAAGTTTGATTTGCAAGGCAATTATGCACTGCCTTGTTATATATACACATAATGTACAGTTGTGTTCAAAAGTTTGCATACCCCTGGAGATTTGGCAATATAAAGCATGCACCATTTTTAACCACCTCCCACCCGCCATATAGTAATATGACGGATGCAAGGTGGTTCTCTCATTCTGGGAGGACGTTATATGACGTCCTCCCATTCTCACCACGCATGCACGGCTCAGGGAGTGTGCAGTGCTGCGATCGGCGGTGCCCTGTGTCCCTCGGACACAGCGGATCACGGAAAGAGCCAAAGACATCGGCTTGTCATGTGATGTTGTGTCCAATCACAGCTGATCACATGTAAACAGGGAAATGCTGGTTATCGGCATTTTTCTCCTCTCGAGCTGTCACGCTGACAGCTTGAGAGGAGAGGAGATCCGGTAATTGGCTTTCCGCGGAGGGGACATGTACACTGATCATCAGAGCACTGATAATCAGTGTGTCCTGATGATCAGTGTAGCCCCAGCAGGGCCACCTGTCAGTATCCATCAGTGCCTCGTGCCAGTGCCCATCAATGCCACATATCAGTGCCTACCAGTGCACATCAATGCCACATATCAGTGCCCATCTGAGCTGCCTTTCAGTGTCACCCATCAGTGCCAGTCAGTGCCGCCTAACAGTGCCATATATCAGTGCTGCTGCCTTTCAGTGCCCATCATTGATGCCCGTCAATGCCCAGTGCCAACTACCAGTGCCTCCTCAGAAGTGCCCATCAGTGCCACCCATCAGTCCCCATCACTGCAGCCTCATTAGCGCACATCAGTGAAGGAGAAAAATCACTTTACAAAATATTATAACAAAAAACTAAGAAAAAAAAATTTTTTTTTTCAACATTTTCAGTGGTTTTTGGTTTAAGAAAAAATAAAAAACCCAGAGTTGATTAAATACCACCAAATTAAAGCTCTGTCACAAAAAAGTGATAAAAATTTCATATGGTTACAGTGTTGCACGACCGCGCAATTGTCATTAAAAGTGTGACAGCTCTGAAAGCTGGAAATTGGCCTGGGCAGGAAGGGAGTATAGGTGCCCTGTAGGCGCGTGGTTAAAGAAACATGAGTAAGAAGGCAAAACATATTTCTTTTATTTCTTATGAGTCACATCTGTAGGTCATGACAGAATGGCATAATCATAAAACAAAACATGGCACAAGTATCCATGTCTATATGCTGAAACAACTGCAATATTGCACAGAACAGGCAGCAGCCCAATCCTCAAGAGGGCCAATCGCCACCATTAATCACTGGGCACTGTCCACTGGAAGGAATGCCTTCCTTTTTGCCCACACGAATACCCATCCAGGACCAGTGACCAATCCAGTCAGTCCAGTGCAGTCTCCAGCAAAAGCTAGGAGACTGATGACCAATCCAGAACCTTCAACTTTTTCTGCTGTAAACCACTGAAGGATCAACTTGGCCTTGTGTTTGTCGTGATAGAAAAATCCAAGCGCGTCCTATGCTCAGCTTTCATGCACAAGAATACAAAATGGTCTGCCAGTATTTTCTGATAACATGCTGCATTCATCTTGCCATCAATTTTAACAAGATTCCCTGTGTCTTTAGAGCTCACACACTCCCAAAACAGTGAGTCATGCTATTCTTGTCACTATAGGCCTTGTTTACCCCTCTCCAAACACAGCGCTTAGGATTGTGACCATAAAACTCTATTTTGATCTCGTCACTCCAGATTACAGTGTGTCAGAAGCTGTGAGGCATGTCAAGGTGTTGTCAGGCAGTAAAGGCTTCTTTATAGCAACTCAACCATGCAGCTAATTTTTGTTCATGCATTGTTGTATTGTGCTCTTTAAAACAGCCACATCCTCTTTTTGCAGAGCAGTCTGTATTTCTCCAGGGGTTACGGTGGGTTTTTATTTGTATTCTGAACAATCCTGGCAATTGTGGCTGCAATCTTTCTTGGTCTACCTGACATTGGCTTGGGATCAGAGATAGCTGAATTTTCCACTTGTGTGATTGAACAATACTGACTGGTATATTCAAGGCTTTGGATATTTTATATCTTTTTCCATCCTTATAAAGTTTCATTACCTTGTTGCGCACGTCTTTTGATCCCCATGGCTCAGTATCTAGCCTGCTCAGTGCATCCACCCAAGAGTGAACAAACTCACTGACTATTTATACACAGACACTAACTGCAATTTAAAAAGACACAGATGTGGGAAATTACCTTTAACTGCCATTTTATCCTGTGTATATCACCTTGTGTGTCTGTATCAATGACAAACATTCCAGGGCATGTCAACTTTTTATTAGGGCCATTTGAGCGATTTCTGTTATCATTAGGAGTTAAAAAGGAGTCAAACAACTATGTAATAATAAATGGCTTCATATGATCACTATCCTTAAATAAATGAGTTTTTTTTGCACGATCAGTCCTACTTTCAATCAGTGTCACAATTTCATCATTTTCACCAGGGTATGCAAACGTTTGAGCACAACTGTATAACTGCTATAAGAATTTATTAATTCTAATTAAAAATTAGATACACACACACACACACACACACACACACACTGCTGCTTCCGTGAAACCACTGGCAACTGAGGCCAGTCAGCACACTGTGAACATACTTCAAATGCAGTGTGGGAACAGCCCCACTGCATGGGAAAAAAAAAAAATTGCCTGGAGTTCAGCTTTAATGTCTCCTTGACCACTATTAACTATGTTGATAAGTAGTAGCAAGAATTACAAAGCTGCGATGAATGTCCTATGGCTTATCACACTGAATTACAAAAAGATAGGAGAAAAAGGATTTTTTCTTTTTGTTGCAAAGGCCTGTAGGTGAAGACAGCTTTTACTAAGGCCTACTTAGTGTATTGTATTTTGGTAATTTCCTTTGATTCATTTAATTACTGAAAGATAATCTACTGTATGGTTGTGTACGTTTTATTTTTTAAAAGACAAGACAAAAAAAACACGTACACAAAAGGAAACAGCTCAAGTGGGATTGCTGGCTAAGACAGGAAGTGTGGTACTGGCCAGATCATCAGGTAAAAATAAAGAAATATGAATAAATAGAACAAAATGCTGCCACCACATTTAAGGATTTATAAACTACAATACAGGCAGTACCCGGTTTACAAACAACATACATTCAGAAGGTTTGTTCTTAAATTTGTGTGCAAGTTGGAACAGGTACAATTTTTTTTAAGTATGTTTTTTGGATAGCATAGGAAAGGGTTAACACCCCTGTAACATTTGTTTTGCGATCTGTGCCCCTGATCAGAAGATTTCAGCTCACTTTCTGTCCCTTTCACAATTGAATTTTGAAAATTTGGGGTTGTTCTGAAAACAAGTATTGGAAATAAAGCTTCAGTGGAGACACCTTTTTCCCTATGACACCTCTTACAGGAGTGAATTTCCCTTCCTAGGGGTAGATTTCCTCTCACTTCCTGTTGTCTCCCTCCATTTGTAAGTATGAGTCGTATGAAAGTCGGATGTATGCAACTCGGGCACAGCCTGTATATTACATTTATGTTTAATACTGTTAAGGTATGCTCAACTTCACAACATTTGATCTCTCCCCTGCTAATTCACCCGATTACTGGCAACTCACATATAACAAAGTGCTTTCAACGGTATATGGGGAGGAGGGGAGGAGGAAAGGAAGGACGGAAGGAAGGAAGGGAAGGAGTAGAAGGATGAGGAGAAATTAAGGGCCAACCACAGCTCAAATTTCAATCAATTGAGCAATTATTGGCTGAAATTCAAGCCATGTATGGCTGGCTTTACATTGCTAAAATTACTTCTTACTGAAGTAAAGATAGTGAAATGTCAAAGAAAGGGTACTTATTCATTCAATCTCCCCTTGGTACAGTACACTGTGGGCCCTACAAATGTTGGATACTCAAAATTCCATTGAAAAATAAATTTCTTCACTGTGTGTAAATAGTCCAATAACTAAAATTATACAAAATCACATGGAAATGAGGATTCACATTTGACTGATCTTATTTTGTTATATTCTGTGATCTGTCTGAAGATAAAAAAAGAAATATGGAAAAAATAAAAAAAAAAACTACTCACCAAATGTACCATAAAATCCTCTTGGCCCACATGTCCCAACACCATATTTCCTAAGTGATGCCAATGCTGCAGCCTAAAAGAAGGAGAAAGAATGAAATAAGTCAATTCATTTCAAAACCATGAAAAAGGTACACAATGTCATACAATACTGTAAAGCGGGGGTCGGCAAGCTGTTGATAGCGATCTACTGGTCAACCGCGGGCAGCCGACAGATTGATCGTGAATTTGGCTCTGCTTTTCCCCAGCCTCCGCCGGTTTCATGATCACTGTAGAGCGGAGAACAGGAGGCAGCACAGTGCTGGATGGAAGGTGGGGCAGGAGCTGCCTCAGTTAACAAGTAGGTGATTGGGTTGCTAGGTGGGTTTAGCAACCAATCACTAACTTGCTACTATGAAAAGTTTACTCCTGGCTCCCACCTTCCATTCAGCACTATGCTTTATCTTGATCTCTGCTCTGGGGAGGCAGAGTACACTGCTTTCAGGGGCAGAGGAGACTGCTATGGGGGGGGGGGGGGGGGGCATTGAACTCTATAATGGGGGGGGTGATGTGAAGGGGAGCAAAAGAAACTGCTATAGGAAGCAGATGACAATTCAGCGTGTGTGGGGGGGGGGGGGGGGGGGGGGGGTGATGTAAAGGGAGGGCAGAGTATTCTGCTTTGGTGGGGGGTATAGGACACTACTGTTGAGAGGAGGGGGGGTAGAGGACACTGCTATGGGAGGGGAATGATGTGAATGGGGCAGAGGACACTACAGTGGGAGGGTGATGTGAAGGGGGCAGGGGAGAGGACACTGCTATGAGGGCAGAGGTAAAAGCACACAAAAGATACCCAAAGTTAAACCCTTGAATGGAAACTGAAGTCATGGATTATCCTTTCCAAAATAAACAAAATTAATCAACATAATAATATGTAATGAACGTGTAAATCAAACAGGAAATAGCTTAGTGAATGCAAACATCTTGTTTTGTAAACCACTTGCGACCTTAGGCCATCATCTGAGTTTTAGATAAAATAATAGGTAAAGGGGTTTTTTTGTTTTGTTTTTTTTTTTTTTTAAACAAGGAATCATAAATGGAACAGAACATGTTTAGGGCCTTTCACACCAGGAATCACACAGGAATACACATTCCTCTGCAGTGCACATACAGTGCAGTGCTATTTGAGCTCATTCATATTGAATGGGCTGAATCGCACTGGACCGGTGCAGAATGTAGTGCATACTTTAAAAAACGCACTGAAACCAGAATGCATGGTATTGTGTGGGCAAAATTACTGCATTTGCAACCTACGTTTGTGGTGTCATTAACTTAATATTGACACCCACTGCAGATCACAGCTGCAGTGCATTTGAACATGGTGAGGGAAACTTGCACGGAACATGGGTTTTCTGCACCATGTTCTGGTGTGAATGGGCACTTCATATTTTAATGCTGCAACTAGACTTCATGCATATTTGCAAAAAAAAGGTGCAGCTTTCAGAAACATTTTTTAATCTTTTATGCCACTGAATGCAGCTCTATATTAGTCAATGCGGCCATGCACATTGCGGCATTTAGATTTAAAAAAAAATAATAAAAATGCCCAAAACCATGTTCAGAGAAAATCATACTGGCATAATTTACAAATAAATATGTTATTCCAATCTAGAGGCCTACAACAAATTAATATTTTAGCCAATAGAATGAAGTTACCCACATATGCCTTAAGTGCATACACATGCGTAAATCCACACCAAACTGAAATTTTTACACTTTATCATTCTTCCAGGAGCTGCCAGGAAAATAGAGTGTAAATTGATTTTTTTTTTTTTTTAAATATGCCCATGAGCTTGAAGCCTAAAAGTTTACTCAACTGTATTAAACTGGAATCACCCCATTTATATTAATTTCTACAAAAGTCTATTTTTGCTATTCTTCTATTACAGTGTTTCTCAACCTTAATTCGGTCAAGACACCCTTTAAAATCCTGCACATTCTCAAGGAACCCTTTAAAATTCAGCGAGCTTTACAAAATGTAAAAAAAAACTAAAACGAATAGTATTATAGAACGCAGCAACATCTGCACATGCGAGACACCTAACGTTAGAGGTGATTTATTCTCCCAAAGCAAATACACCTTTGCACACTGGTGCTGACTAGTATTACATTATTTCTCTTCTCCCTCACTCATCTAATGTGACCCCAGTGCTGACAGAGAGGGGCACGCAAGGTTACTGTGCATGTACCCGACGTCCTTCTCATCAAAGGCAGGCTTGATCCACCTGCTGGTTTGTATAGAATTTTTGGCCAATTTTTAGGCATTTTACCGAAGCACCCCTAAAGAAAAATGAAGGCACCCTGGTTGAAAAAGGCTGTTCTATAAGATGGTCAAGTTTGTCAGTTGCTCATCCAGTTTTGTGGTGTACGGTCTTACGTGCCCATGTGTTCTCCTCTATGTGAGCCATACCATTCGGACCCTCCGCTCTAGATTCAGTGAACATCGTCACCTTATTGAGGGCGGTAAGGATATACAGAGCGTTCCCAGACACTTCTTAGAGGTTCACAACAAATGTACTGGACTCCCGGGTCTCGGTCATTGAATCCATATCTACCAATCTCCAAGAGGCGGAGCGCTTCCACAAGCTCTGCCACAGGGAAACTTTTTGGATTCACACCCTTGAAACACTGTCCCCTGCTGGCCTTAATGAGGAACTAGAGATAGCTACTATACTATAACATATTATTGCACAATATACCTTCCTTTCTTATCAATGAACATGACCATCTGTTTGTACTACCTCTTGTTTTTCCCGTAAAATCATTGTGTTCTCTATACCCTCTGTTTGTACTACCTTGCGATTTCCCGCAAAATCATTGGGTTCCTTACACTAGAATTTATTGCTCTATCCATTTATGATACATGGTGGTGGTCCATCCACATAGGTTACCCTTCTTTGTAGTTCCGTTGCTTTATGATTTATACATAGCATGTACTCCATTTGACTATCATCCACATCACGACACATACATACATATATATACACACACACACACACATGTGTGTGTGTATATATATATATATATATATATATATATATATATATATATATATATATATATATATATATATATATATATATACACACACACATATACACACACATATATATACACACACACACATATAACACATACACACACACACACACACACACACACACACCACCCTCTTTTATAAGTCCATTTTTTACAAGACAGCTTTTCAACCTAACATTTGCTGGTTCATACATAGACACATACTGTGTTGCAAATGGTTTTCCATATATCCATCTCCACTACCTATTCCACCTGGGTAGGTTGGCACAGGTCAGAATTTTTTACTGTTTCCATACCGTTTATATGTATATTCATCAGTCACCATCAATAGTTATAGTCATTTACTTTTATATATATATTTATTTTATGTAGAACAACACTATTCTATATTGTCTGGATCATGTACCCATAGCCCAGACTTATTTCTCACATTGTCATAATTGCAATACGGTTTAGCATTTATTTTGTTGTAAATTGTGCTTTTTGGATTCCTTCCATTTCGAGTACGTCAGGATATAATTTCTACCCAGGTATCTACTCCCCATCAATTTAATTCCTTCCCATTATAATTCTCCCCCTTTTTTTCTTGTTTTTTGTGTTTCCTCCTTTTTAATTCCTTTCCATTGTATTTATCCTACTAACACCTTCCCGGTCCTTCCTTCTCCTTTAAATCATTAACTAGATGTTTCCGCTTTGTTCCACACATCTCTCTGCTCCATATAAGGCTCTTTCTGTGTCATTGTTCTCCCTATGCTTGGTAAAGGAGCACACCGGTCCTCGGATCCTGCGCATGCTCAGAAACGCGTTGCATGCTTATTATGTCATACGCCATCGCCGCTGCTCCAGAGTGTACAGGGACTTGCCAGGCTTTCACTTTCAGGCTCTATCTTACATCGCTTCAGCGCTCCCTGCTGTCCGGTTGGAGTTCACACAGACTTGCCAGGCTTTCACTACAGGCTCCACTTAACACCTCTCCAGTGCTACCTGCTGTCCAACCAGCATTCCTGTTCACTGTTCCAGATTACAACTACCAGGCATTGTGCTTTGTTAACCCCTTATGAGCCTACTTATTACAATCTACATGTGAGCGGTTTTATTTATGTTCACCATTAAATACATCTTCTAGTCTACACTCAGAGGCGCTGTGTTTCTCTTCTTGTCCACTCCAGTGTCATTGCTTCACGCTATCACAGCTCGCCGGGTGTCTCCAGATCGTTTGTTCCCCCACCAGCTCCTCACCCCATACTCAGCCTAGAGACTATGCGGACTGCTTATTCCATGCGCCTGTTATCCTTTTTTGTCAATTAAGTTAATAATTCGAAAACTGCTTTGTTTGTTGGTCACCATGACAATACCAGACTGTCTATAAATCCTTTAGGCTAAGGGAAATGAATAGGGTTCAACAATCTGGTTACACACTGAAAATTTGTACATAAAAAAGGTGTGTATACATTGGTAATAGATTGAGTCATCAGAACAATGGGACCGTGTATATAGTATGTGTGGACACTTGGCATGCAAGAAGAAGAGACTTTAGAATAAGATTCACAAACACGGTCGCTTACCTTAACTCTCTCATTATCTAGGAGACCAAGAAAATTAAAGGATGCAAAATTAATACATTCTTTTCCATTCACAATGATTGTGTGGCTTGGAGGTCTGAAAGATACATTATGAGGACACTTAATATTGAAATTTATTTCTGAAACCACAATATTAAATTTACTACAATATAGAAAAAGCAGCCTTCATAGCAATAAAGAAGTAAAACTAGGAATACATGTTTTAATACTTAGAAGAAATGTCCAACTAAATACAGACGAAAAGGTGTTCAATGTGTATACTGTATTCACATATCAAGCACAATTTACTATTGCTTTGCCCAGGAAATTGTGCCATGTATGTGCCAGAGGAGCTGGACCCAACAGATCAAAAGGAGAGGCTGTGCGACACACAGCAGGTCAAAAAGCAAAGATTTTGTCATAGATGGGACAGTGCAAGAGTTGAAAGAGAGGGTAGGCATTTTAACTCATTAGGTGTAACTGCATTGAAAGTGCAGTCACACTTTAAAAAATTATTTTTGTTCATATATATCATGCATACCTGCTTTACAGGAACTATATGATGTAATCACAGACAAGAGAACATCAGGAAGTCAGCACAGAAATTCCAAACATTTTTTATTTGAATACTTCTTTGTAGACTATACAATATAATCATATATATTGTACAAACTGACTGTATAAGGACACCAATGCTAATATACAGTGCATTTAGAAAGTATTCACAGCGCTTAACTTTTGCCACATTTTGTTATGTTACAGCCTTATTCCAAAATGGATTAAATTCATTTGTGTCCTCAACATTCTACAAACAATACCCCATAATGATAACATGAAAGAAGTTCATTTTGAAATCTTTGCAATTTTTTAAAAATAAAAAAAATGGGAAAAACAAAAAAAAAAAAAAAAAACACGTGTAGATAAGTATTCACAGCCTTTGCCATGACACTCAAAATTGAGCTCTGGTGAATCCTATTCCCACTGATCATTCTTGAGATGTTTCCACAACTTGAATAGAGTCCACCTGTGGGAAATTCAGTTGATTGAACATGATTAGGAAAGGCATAAACCTGTCTATATAAAAGGTCCCACAGTAAACAGTGCATGTCAGAGCACAAAAAAAGCCGTGAAGTCCAAGGAATTGTCCGTAGACCTCCAAGACAGGATTGTATCAAGGCACAGATCTGGGGAAGGGTACAGAAAAAATTTTGGAAGCATTGAAGGTTCCAATGAGCACAGTGGCCTCCATCATACGTAAATGGAAGAAGTTTGCAACCACCAGCAATCTTCCTAGAGAGGGTCGCCCGGCCAAAATGAGCGATCGACGGAAAAGGGCCTTAGCCAGGGAGGTAACCAAGCACCCGATGGTCACTCTGCAAGAGCTCCAGCATTTCTCTGTGGAGAGAGGAGAACCTTCCAGAAGAACAACCATCTCTACAGCACTCCACAAATCAGGCCTGTATGCTAGAGTGGCCAGACAGAAGCCATTTCTCAGTAAAAGGCAAATGGCAGCCCGCCTGAAGTTTGCCAAAAGGCACCTGAGGGACTCCCAGACCATGAGAAACAAAACTCTCCGGTCCGATGAAACAAAGATTGAACTCTTTGGCCTGAATGCCAAGCCTCATTTCTTAAGGAAACCAGGCACAGCTCACCACCTGCCCAATACCATCCCTACCGTGAAGAATGGTGGTGGCAGCATCATGATGTGGGGGTGTTTTTCAGCGGTAGGAACTTGGAGACTAGTCAGGATCGAAGGAAAGCTGAATGCAGCAATGTACAGAGACATCCTTGATGAAAACCTGTTCAGGAGAGCTCTTGAGCGTAGACTGGGGCGACGGTTCATCTTTCAACAGGACAACAACCCTAAGCACAAAGCCCACAAAAGAGTGGCTACGAGCCAACTCAGTGAATGTCCTGGAGTGGCCCAGCCAGAGCCCAGACTTGAACCCAATTGAACATCTCTGGAGAAAATCAGAAAATGGCTGAGCACCGACACTCCACATCCTGATGGCGCTTGAGAGGTACTGCAAAGAAGAATGGGAGAAATTGCCCAAAAATAGATGTTCCAAGCTTGTAGCATCATACACAAAACGGCTTGAGGCTGTAATTGGTGCTAAAGGTGCTTCAACAAAGTATTGAGCAAAGGCCGTGAATACCTATGTACATGTGTTTTTTTTCATTTTTTATTTTTAATAAATTGCATAGATTTCAAAACAAACTTTTCACGTTGTCATTATGGGGTATTGTTTGTAGAATGTTAAGGAAAAAAAATTGAATCCATTTTGGAATCAGGCTGTAACATAACAAAATGTGGCAAAAGTTAAGCGCTGTGAATACTCTCTGGATGCACTGTATGTCTATCAATTAGCTCGTTTTTGGGAAATCCTACTGTTTAGCCACTTGCCAACCGGGCACTTTTACCCCCTTCATGCCCAGACCAATTTTCAGCTCTCTCACACACTTTGAATGACAATTGCGCAGTCATGCAACATTGCACCCATATGAAAATTTTATCATATTTTTCACCCAAATAGAGCTTTTGCTTGTGGTGGTGGTGGGTTAAGTGCTTCTTTTGGTGGTATTTAATCGCCACTGGGTGTTTTTATTATAAAATTAAAATTTTTCTCCTTCACTGATGTGTGCAGCGTGTAAGCAGCGCTGATAGGCTGCAATGATGAGGTGGCACTGAAGAGGCGGCAATAGTGGGCATTGATGATGCTGTACTGATATGCAGCAATGATGGGCACTGATAGGCGGCACTGCTGGGCACAAATGCTGGGTGGCACTGTGAACAGTGCAATTGTACTCTGTGACATTTGCCGGTTATCAACAGTAGTTTCTTCACGTTGTGACAGTGCGAGGAAAGTGCTACCTATAACCAGCAACTATATTTACTTGATGATCTGCTGTGTCGTTGGACACAGCTGATCACGTGGTAAAAGGCTGCTGTGATTGGCCTTTTACCTCAGCATGTGATCAGCTGTGTCCGTAGCACACAGCGATCACAGACGGCACCTGGTGCGCACCGCTTGGGACACGCAGGAGGGCATGTTCTGGGAGGACATCCTATGACGCTCTCCCAGAACTGGACAACCGTGCTGTAGCAGTCTTTCAGCTATAGCACGGTTGTAAAGTGGTTAAGGGCCAATTCACACAAGAACGTGGTGTGGGAAATATGTTCTATTCCATTTTTTTCCCCCCATCGCATTCAAAATCGTATTGCCCTTGTGCTCTGCAGTGGGTGTCAGTGCAAACTTAATGACACCACAAACGCAGTCAATGTGCCCACAATGGATCGCATGGTACAAAAGTACCGTGTGATCCTGTTGTAGTGTATTTCCAAAAGTACTGTATGCACTATTTTTGGTTCAGTGCTTAGCAAGTTCATCCATTAATGGGCCGAAATTGCACATCACAGAACTGCATGTGAATCGCATGCAGTTCCTAGTGTGAATGGACCCTTAAAACACAAAGCTAGAAAAAAGCAGCAGTTAGTTACCCAGTAACGATGTTATAATTGAGAGCTGGGTGATCTTTAGAAACAGGAGGCACGAGAGGTTCTGGGTGCCACTCTTCAATCAATTCTTCCTTCTCCTGGAAAAAAAAAAAAAAAATACAATTTCATGACAAAAAATAAGTATGCCAGTTCTTCCTGTCTGGAATACAACACTCTCACACTCATACATGGGCATAACAGTTCCCTGTTCTGGGGAAAAAAAAAAAAAAAAAAAAAAAAAATCTAGGACACATTTCTGGTTTTATTCTGATCATCTTTTCTGTATGGCACGTGGCCAGTGTACTTAAGAGTGTCGAAGTCTATAGTATTAACTTTTAACCCTTTCACTACTAGGTCCGTACATCATACGGACCTGACAACAGGGGGTGCTATACACAATCCTGTGGCTGAGCTGCCGCCTGATTGCTTCCACAGCCCCAGGTACTGTGTGTTTGTTACTGACACTTTGGGGTTTATTTACTAAAGCTGGAGAGTCCAAAATCAGACTCCCTTCTGCATAGAAACCAATCAGCTTCCAGGTTTCATTGCCAAAGCTTCATTTAACAAGCTGAGGTTAGAAGCCAATTGGTTTCTGTGCAGAAGGGAGTCTGATTTTGGACTCTCCAGCTTTAGTAAATAAACCCCTTTGTGTTTCCTAGACCTTTGAGGTAATATCATGTGACAGAAAAAAATTGGAATTACCACTATTTTATTCTCTAGGGTGTCTACTTTCTGAAAATATATAATATTTGGGGGTTTTGTATAATCTTCAGGCCTCAAATTATTTTTTTATACATGTGTGCAAAAAAATTGCAAAAACGGCTCTGGAAGCGAAAGGGTTAAAATTCAATAAAACCATATTTAGAATGAAAGTTATAGCAGTTCCGCAATTACCTTTTCTGTGAGGTCAGAGCGTTCCTGCAATTTGTAAGTCTTAGAAAATATAAGCCGTATAATCCACAGGATCAGAATGCCTTCCAGTATTAAATGGTATGCAGGTGCCTGAAAATAAGGGAAGAAAAAAAAAAAAAAAAAAAAAAAAGTGTGTTTTTAGGTTATTTACATGTCACCATCAAATTTTGCTGTGAAGGGAGAAACAAGAATACCTGCAAACTTGAACCCAATACAAAATGTACACTGAACATTTAGGCCTCATTTATGTGGATGAGCAGTAAAAGCAGATTGTTGAGCTGCGGTTCTACTACTCTCGACCACCACAGCCACAAGTTAAAGAGTGCAACTCTGGGCAAATTAATAATAATAATATAAAAAAAAAAAAAAAAAAAAAATAATATATATATATATATATATATATATATATATATATATATATATTTTTTTTTTTTTTTTTTTACCAAAAAAAAAAAAACGTTTGAGAAAGTGCATAATAATACAAAAGAAAAGCAAATGATGGTCATATACAACATTTGGCAGTGCATGTCGGGAGAAAGTAGGAATATTCTTACAAAGAACCACATATGGAGCATGGATGTGCCAGTCCACAACGGGGTAAGTCTGTAATACTCAGGCAGACTAGTAGTGCGCATGGGAATGTTATCGCATCGGACCTTCTTAGTATGTAATTCTCATTATAGCGCCGCAGAAGGAGGCAGGGTAGATGCAGCACAACCGTTGAGGATGAAGCTAGTGTTTTACTGGAGTGATGGTACCTGTAAGTAAGCTTAGATTGTCGTGAGGGTCGCTAATGTAAACAAGGTAAATATGACAATGGCATGCCTAATGTTCTCTAAAGAGGAACCCAGTGGTTAACTGGGTGTGTAACAAGAAGGTAAGAAGAAAGAAAAGGAGAACAAGAAAAGATAAAAGATAAAAAAAAAAAAAAAAAACGGGGGGGGGGGGGGGGGGGGCTGGGTTTTGTATTGTCGTCAACACCAAGGGTCTTTTATGGGTGGATTTGAGCAAAAGTCTATTAACCGGAGCCGGTAGGTGGGGATAGAGCCCTGAAAGTGGGGAAGTCGCCTACCGTATGATCTAGAGTGTGGAGTAACATACAATGGAGATTAGTAATCAATCAGGCGTGTTGGTTGGACGGTTCATAAAGGACCGGTACGTAGAAGTAGTTTTAAAGTGATTCCAGCAGGGCCAAGCATGGGAGAATTTAGTGGGGGAATCGAGTGCGGTCGCAATCAGTTCTTCCATTTCCGCACTTTTTACCCACACGGATCAGCCAATCGCGTATGGAGGGAGGGCGGGTGGAGCCCCAAAGAGTGGGAAGACAGAGTCTGGCTGCGTTGACCATATGCATTGCTAAAGATTTGAGGTATTGTCCCCTGGGCAGAGAGGAGTGATGGAGAAGAAACTGCTCTGGAGAGAAAGCTAGGAACAAGGTGGTCACAGACACTACAAGCCGGTGGACCTCCTGCCAAAATGGTTGGATATTGGGACAAGACCACCAAATGTGGAGAAAGGATCCATCTGAGGTTCCACATCTCCAACAGCTGTTGGGGACGAAGGATTAAAACGAGAGATTCTCGACGGAGTTCGGTACCATCTCGAAGCAAGTTTATATCCGTTTTTCCTGAGTCAAGACATTGAGGGAGCATTTATGAGTATGCATAAATATTAGGTCCCAATCGGCATCCGATAAGCTGTTTCCCAAGTCTCTGTTCCAAGCACGGCAGGAGGGTAAAGAATTATAATCCCTACTCTCAACAAGAAGAGGGTAAATCTCCGAAATCAAATGTTTGCGCATTTCAGCTCTAGAGCATAGGGATTCAAAAAGGAGTGAGGGGATGAGTCCAGTTATGGAACAGTTTGTGTGAGAGCAGGAAGTATCTTATCTGCAGAAAGGCCCAAAAAGGAAAATCTCGACTATCTAGGCTATCAAGCAGTTCGAGGAACGATATTACTTTTCCATCGCGGATAAAGTGTTTAACCAAGATCTGGTCATGTGGCCAATGCTCAGATAAGAATGACTTGTGCATGCCTGGGGGGAAGTCAGGATTGAGACGAATGGAGGTTAAGGAATTCCGTGACTCAGAGATAGATACCGTTTTACAGTTCAGGCGGAGAATATTTAAGCTGGGCCCCACTAAAGGGTGGGTGAGGAGCTCTTGAGGTGTATGCTTTGGCAGTAACCATGGAATCGATGTCAGGGGTGAGGGTGAGAAGGCATTTTCTAGGCAGACCCAGTCTTTAGAGGTAGAATGAACATGCCAGTCCACTATGCGTGTAAGGTGGCATGCCCAGTAGTACCGGTGAAGGTCAGGGAGCCCAATTCCACCTCTAAGTTTGGGGAGAGTCAGTTGAGAAAAAGCAATACGTGGACGCTTATGATTCCACAGGAATTGTGAGCAGAATTTTTTTACAAGAAGTAAAAAAAGCAGCAGGTATGTGGATTGGCAGCATTTGAAAAAGATAGAGAAGGCGTGGGAGTATGTTCATTTTGATTATAGCTGCCCTTCCAAACCAAGAGAAACAAGGACGATGCCATTTGTGGAGGTCCTCTTGGAGAGAACGTAGAGCGGGAAGGAAGTTTTTTGCATAGAGGTCATCGAGGTTGCGGGTAAGTTGTACGCCGAGATATGAAAGGGAATCCTTTTCCCAACGAAACGGGAAATGAGATTCACAGAAAGAGAACGAGTTCTGGAGGCAGGGATATGTTAAAGGGAAAAAGATTTGGAGAAGTTGATTTTAAAATTTGACAAGAATCGAAAGAGGGCAAATTCTTTTAACAGATTAGGCAAAGTAGTGTGTGGATCAGCAAGGAAGAGAAGGATGTCGTCTGCGTAAAGCAGCGAGCTTGTATTCCTTGTCCAATACCCTGATCCCTTTGATGTCAGAGTTCGAGCGGATTGTGCGCAATAGGGGCTCGAGAGATAGGACAAACAAGAGTGGGGAAAGGGGGCAACCCTGACGTGTTCCGTTTCCTAAGTAAAACGAGTTGGACAGATGTCCATTGACCCGGACTCGAGCGGTGGGGCCTGTGTACAGGGTCATGATGAAGTTGAGCATCTTCTCACCCAAACCCAGTGACAGCAGAGACGCTTGCAGATAGTCCCATGCAATTCTATCAAAGGCCTTCTCTGCATCCAGGGAAAGGAAAAAAACAGAAGTGTTAGATTTGCACAACCAATGGTGAAGGTTAAGGGCCTTAATGGTATTGTCCTCTTGCTTCCCTTCCCGGTATGAATCCAACCTGATCTAAATTGATCAAGGAGGGAAGCAGGGGGAGAAGTCTATTAGCCAAGATCTTCGCAAATAACTTAATGTCTACATTCAGCAGGGAGATGGGTCTGTAGTTGGATACCTGCGTGTTATCTTTATCACCCTTGGGGATAACCGTTATGTGGGCTTCCAAAAGACGATGTTGAGGTAGGGGGGATTTGGAGAAAGTATTAAACGCCAAAAGAAGGGGGGTACCTAAGATATCCAAGAAGGATTTATAATAGGCTGCGGAGAAGCCGTCGGGACCCGGACTCTTACCAGGTTTTGTCTGTTTCAAAGCACACTGCAGCTCATTCAGGGTCAGATCCGCTTCCAGAGAGTTGACCAAGTCGTCCGAGAGAGCCGACGGACCGTGGAGCTGGAGAAATTCAGAAATCAAAGAGGCCCTGGATTCGTCAGTATGCGGCGGTGGGCGTTCAGGAGGAAGGTTATATAAGGATCTATAAAAATGTTCAAAATGGGCAGCAATATCAGGATTAGATGTGGCCATGGTGCCATCGGGACCTCTAATTTTATGTACCGTCATACTGGATCATTTTTCGCGGAGAGCTCTAGCTAGGAACTTTCCGCTCATTAGCAAATTCATAGTATAGTTTTTGAGAGAGAATGAACCGTTTCTTAACCACCTTCCCCAATTCTGTAAGAAGCTGTGAACGTGTACACGTAAGTTCGGATAGGGTCGACGCAGCCAGAGACCGCTTATGTGCTCTCTCTAATGAATGGATCTTATCTGTGAGGCGTCTCAAACGCTCTTGTCTATCTTTTTTACGCTTCGATGCAGCTGCTATGAGGACGCCCCGAATGACACACTTATGAGCCTCCCACTGCGTGAGTGGGGAGGTATCAGGGGAGCAATTGAAGGAAAAGTATTCAACCAGATTGGTGCGGATCTCTTGTTCGATAGCAGAGTCTGCAAGAAGGGAGGCGTCTAGGCGCCAACATTTCGAGCGTGTGTAAGTATCAGGGAACCGTAAAGTCATGGTGATCGGAAAGAACCATTGGTTCTATAGAAGCGGCGTGGAGTAGCGGGAGATCTGATTGCGACAGAAAAAGATAGTCTATCCTGGAGTACTTATTATGTGGTGCGGAATAAAATGTATAATCTTTTACCGTGGGGTAGAGAGTTCTCCAGGAATCGTGCAGTTGTAAGTGTTGTAATTGTATGTTTATTTGTTTGAGGGCCTTAAATGGTAAAAAGGAGCTTCCGGAGGAGGAGTCTAGCAGAGGATATAGTGGGACATTCAAATCGCCCCCTAAGATCAGAACACCTGAATGGAAAGCAGATAGGGTGGTAGTTATTGAGCGTGTGAAAGAGACCTGCTTGGTATTAGGGGCGTATACATTAGCAAATGTGACGGGTCTATTGGCGAATGAACCCTTTATGAATAAGTACCTGCCTTCAGGATCAGCAAGGGAGTCTGACATAGTAAAGGGAAGATGTCTAGCGAGTAAAATAGCTACCCCTTTCGACTTGGCCAGAGGGTTAGTGGCATGGTGGACTATGGGAAGTGGAAATTAAAAAAGCTTGGGAATAGAGTCCTGACGAAAGTGCGTCTCTTGAAGGAAGACAACATCTGCCTTTTGTTTATGCAGATAGGAGAGCAACATGGAGCTCTTTTCGGGTGTGTTCAGACCCTTGGTGTTGAGTGAGAGGATTTTCAGGGACCTTGGTCTCGAAACTGAGGTGTGAGGGACGGCATGTTTACCAATCAGTGTTGCGAGTGTCCAAAGATGCAGCTCCCCGGGGGGGGGGGGGGGGGGGGGGGGGGGGGGTTGAAGGGAAAGAGAGAGAAAGGAAAAAAAAAAAAAAAGGG